AGTTAGACCAGAGCAAGAAGTCGTCTACACACAGAACCACAGATAAACCACAGCAAGAAGTCGTCTACACACAGAACCACAGTTAAACCACAGCTAGAAGTCGTCTACACACAGAACCACAGTTAAACCACAGCTAGAAGTCGTCTACACACAGAACCACAGATAAACCACAGCAAGAAGTCGTCTACACACAGAACCACAGTTAAACCACAGCTAGAAGTCGTCTACACACAGAACCACAGTTAAACCACAGCTAGAAGTCGTCTACACACAGAACCACAGTTAAACCACAGCTAGAAGTCGTCTACACACAGAACCACAGATAAACCACAGCTAGAAGTCGTCTACACACAGAACCACAGATACACCACAGCAAGAAGTCGTCTACACACAGAACCACAGATAAACCACAGCTAGAAGTCGTCTACACACAGAACCACAGATAAACCACAGCAAGAAGTCGTCTACACACAGAACCACAGATACACCACAGCAAGAAGTCGTCTACACACAGAACCACAGATAAACCACAGCTAGAAGTCGTCTACACACAGAACCACAGTTAAACCACAGCAAGAAGTCGTCTACACACAGAACCACAGTTAAACCACAGCAAGAAGTTGTCTACACACAGAACCACAGATAAACCACAGCAAGAAGTCGTCTACACACAGAACCACAGTTAAACCACAGCAAGAAGTCGTCTACACACAGAACCACAGTTAAACCACAGCAAGAAGTCGTCTACACACAGAACCACAGTTAGACTACAGCAAGAAGTCGTCTACACACAGAACCACAGTTAAACCAGAGCAAGAAGTCGTCTACACACAGAACCACAGATAAACCACAGCAAGAAGTCGTCTACACACAGAACCACAGTTACACACGAGCAAGAAGTCGTCTACACACAGAACCACAGTTAAACCACAGCAAGAAGTCGTCTACACACAGAACCACAGATAAACCACAGCTAGAAGTCGTCTACACACAGAACCACAGTTAAACCACAGCAAGAAGTCGTCTACACACAGAACCACAGATACACACCAGCAAGAAGTCGTCTACACACAGAACCACAGTTAAACCACAGCAAGAAGTCGTCTACACACAGAACCACAGTTAAACCACAGCAAGAAGTCGTCTACACACAGAACCACAGTTAAACCACAGCAAGAAGTCGTCTACACACAGAACCACAGATAAACCACAGCAAGTCCATCTGAGTTTTAACAACATTTAGCTCTCACGAGTTATTAATACGGGAAGTTCGAATCTGTGAATATATTCCCAACTTTACTGAACTCCTTGAAATAAGCAGTGACTGTATTTCTTTATATTTATTTCCAAGTTCAAAATAAAACTTTATGAACCGCTTCATTGTTAATGTACAGAGCTGCCTGAAACACTGCCAGCGGGATATGAAAGTGTTTGTCCGAACTCACAACAGGTTTTGCAAGAAAACGCAAATATTTCTGCGAGAGAACGCAATAGCTTTGAAAAATATTTTTACCTCTCATCCCACACAACAGCAACAAGCAACAAGCAACAGCAACACGCAACAGCAACACGCAACAGCAACACAAAACAGCAACACGCAACAGCAACACGCAACAGCAACACAAAACAGCAACACACAACAGCAACACACAACAGCAACACACAACAGCAACACACAACAGCAACACGCAACAGCAACACACAACAGCAACACAAAACAGCAACACGCAACAGCAACACAAAACAGCAACACGCAACAGCAACAAGCAACAGCAACACGCAACAGCAACACAAAACAGCAACACACAACAGCAACACGCAACCGCAACACAAAACAGCAACACACAACAGCAACACGCAACAGCAACACAAAACAGCAACACGCAACAGCAACAAGCAACAGCAACACGCAACAGCAACACAAAACAGCAACACGCAACAGCAACACGCAACCGCAACACAAAACAGCAACACACAACAGCAACACACAACAGCAACACACAACAGCAACACACAACAGCAACACACAACAGCAACACACAACAGCAACACAAAACAGCAACACACAACAGCAACACACAACAGCAACACAAAACAGCAACACGCAACAGCAACACACAACAGCAACACACAACAGCAACACGCAACAGCAACACACAACAGCAACACACAACAGCAACACGCAACAGCAACACAAAACAGCAACACGCAACAGCAACACGCAACAGCAACACACAACAGCAACACACAACAGCAACACACAACAGCAACACAAAACAGCAACACACAACAGCAACACACAACAGCAACACAAAACAGCAACACGCAACAGCAACACGCAACAGCAACACACAACAGCAACACACAACAGCAACACGCAACAGCAACACAAAACAGCAACACACAACAGCAACACACAACAGCAACAGCAACACACAACAGCAACACACAACAGCAACACGCAACAGCAACACACAACAGCAACACACAACAGCAACACGCAACAGCAACACAAAACAGCAACACACAACAGCAACACGCAACAGCAACACACAACAGCAACACACAACAGCAACACACAACAGCAACACAAAACAGCAACACACAACAGCAACACGCAACAGCAACACGCAACAGAAACACGCAACAGCAACACACAACAGCAACACACAACAGCAACACACAACAGCAACACGAAACAGCAACACACAACAGCAACACACAACAGCAACACGAAACAGCAACACACAACAGCAACACGAAACAGCAACACACAACAGCAACACACAACAGCAACACACAACAGCAAAACACAACAGCAACAGCAACACGAAACAGCAACACACAACAGCAACACGAAACAGCAACACACAACAGCAACAGCAACACACAACAGCAACACACAACAGCAACACACAACAGCAACAGCAACACGAAACAGCAACACACAACAGCAACACGAAACAGCAACAGCAACACACAACAGCAACACGCAACAGCAACACGCAACAGCAACACAAAACAAAACAGCAACAGCAACACGCAACATGCAACACACAACAGCAACACACAACAGCAACACGCAACAGCAACACAAAACAGCAACAGCAACACACAACAGCAACACGCAACAGCAACACGCAACACACAACAGCAACAAGCAACAGCAACACGCAACAGCAACACACAACAGCAATACACAACAGCAACACGAAACAGCAACACGCAACAGCAACACACAACAGCAACACGAAACAGCAACACACAACAGCAACACGAAACAGCAACACACAACAGCAACACAAAACAGCAACAGCAACACACAACAGCAACACGCAACAGCAACACGAAACAGCAACACACAACAGCAACACACAACAGCAACAGCAACACGAAACAGCAACACACAACAGCAACACACAACAGCAACACACAACAGCAACAGCAACACGAAACAGCAACACACAACAGCAACACGAAACAGCAACACACAACAGCAACAGCAACACACAACAGCAACACACAACAGCAACACACAACAGCAACAGCAACACGAAACAGCAACACACAACAGCAACACGAAACAGCAACAGCAACACACAACAGCAACACGCAACAGCAACACGCAACAGCAACACAAAACAAAACAGCAACAGCAACACGCAACATGCAACACACAACAGCAACACACAACAGCAACACGCAACAGCAACACAAAACAGCAACAGCAACACACAACAGCAACACGCAACAGCAACACGCAACACACAACAGCAACAAGCAACAGCAACACGCAACAGCAACACACAACAGCAACACACAACAGCAACACGAAACAGCAACACGCAACAGCAACACACAACAGCAACACGAAACAGCAACACACAACAGCAACACGAAACAGCAACACACAACAGCAACACAAAACAGCAACAGCAACACACAACAGCAACACGCAACAGCAACACGCAACAGCAACACAAAACAAAACAGCAACAGCAACACGCAACATGCAACACACAACAGCAACACACAACAGCAACACGCAACAGCAACACACAACAGCAACACGCAACAGCAACACAAAACAGCAACAGCAACACACAACAGCAACACGCAACAGCAACACGCAACACACAACAGCAACAAGCAACAGCAACACGCAACAGCAACACACAACAGCAACACACAACAGCAACACACAACAGCAACACGCAACAGCGCCGCATTTTTTCTCTGAAACGTGCAGCGCTCATATTTAAATCATCACTTGTTTAAGTTTAAATATCACATACCTATTCCTGTTTTTCAATCCCCAAATTGAAGATTGTTAAGACATTTGATTATTGTACTCCTAAATACACTATAGTTCACACACATCTATTTTAGTCACAAATTCTCAAGCCCAGCTGTACGAATTTAGTTTTATTTATTTTATTACCTCAACTTAAAGTCCCCATGAATTCAAAATTGACCATACTTACTTTGTTTGCCTAAAATGATCGTTTTGTGGTGAACAATTCATCCATTCAAGTCAATCCACACAAATTTTTTTGGCTTCGTAATCTTTAATCAAAATCTGAAATTTCCCCTCCCCCTTCCCTGATGACGTAGGTTTGACGGTTTGGGCGTCTGTTTAACATCCGTAATCACGCCCCTCCAACTGACAGTAGACAGGCTGAATGAAAACACCTACTTTTCTAGATCCAATCAGGTGCTAGTTGTAAAAAAAGGCCACGCCCACTAGTTTGCCTCATTTAGTATTCCGTTTCTCTCGGAAATACGTCACAACACTGGAGAAAAGTCGTTTGCAACTTCCGGTTCACGGGGACTTTAAACTAAACAAAATGAGAAATGTTGCCTTAGCAACTAGCTGAAATAATACATTTTTATTTTATTTCAATTAATTATTTTTTTTATTTTAGTTAATGATAATAACCCTGGGAAGAATCTAATTTCATTTCAACACAAGTTTGAGCAGCCGTTAAGTCTTTACTCACACAGCAGGAAGAGTGAGTTGGGCTTGGTGTGGAAGTCGGGGAAGTAGAGCCACTTGATGACGTTGGAGTCCATGCTGGACGACGGGCTTCTCCACGGGTAATCTGAACCACAGCAGACAGACAGAAATACAGTCAGGGTCATCTTCAAGACCTGGATTAATTTTTTTTAAAGTATTTATTTAACATTTTTAGTGCAAAGCATGGTAAAACATATATTCACAGGAAGTACAAATAAAATATCCATCTTTTTTTCTTTCTTTTTTTTAATAATGAGGCAGTGAAAAGCACAATGTAACATACCATTAAAGGACTTCAAGGCCTGAATTTGTTGCTGGTTGAGGAACTTACCTTCAAGTCAGCATGAAATCAAAATAGGCAATTCTTGTTTTTATTTTTATTCGAAATGATTAATCAGTGCACATCATCATTATTGTGTTAAATTCATGTTCTGGTAATGTTGAATGAGAATCAGTTCCTCTTGCAGCATCTCTTCTCTTCTCTGATGATGTGGGCGGGGCTATAACCTGTCACTCACATGAGATCAGCCAATAGCAAACCACAACCATCCAATCAGTTCCACACGGACACAATCAAGCCCCGCCCACATTTGTTCTTGTTCCAGAAGCGTTTCACTCGGATATACGACACAATCAGGGTTTGAAATTAACTTTTTCACTCACTGGCCAATTTGGCTTCTAAATTTTTAAGTTACCGGCCATTCAGAGCTTCTACTAGCCAATAAATAAATAAATAAATAAATAACAAAAGAAAAGACATAAACCTGCTTAACTACGTAACAGCTTATAAAATAAAATTTGTATTTCATACATTAATTTCTTATTTCAAACAAAATCCTGTCATCCAGCATCTCCTCTCTTCCTCTTTGTCTTTCTCTTTCTCTTAGATGGACAGATCAATACAGTACAAAGAACATCAAAAACATGTCGGATGTTGGAAAATAACAATGTTTTTCTGTAAACCAAATGCTTTTTAATCTTCACTATTGTTTCAATGCAAATGAACAAGCGCGCCGTTATTTGTTGTGTAGTGACGTGTGTGTGTGTGTGTGTGTGTGTTCAAGTAAGCCAGATATGAGCAGATTTTGCGCAATACACTGTATTTAATATATCATGATGACTCGCAGATTTGTCTGACACGAACTTCCCCAGCAAAGTGAGTAAACATAATAAGTAACACACCAAATTAGCCAGTGATTAAACAGCGTTAGTGCCACAGTCGAGTTTTACCCGCGTCTGGCGAGTGTTAATGTCAAACCCTGGGCACAATAGAGAATAAAGGACCGTCTCGTTTAAAGCACACTGATCATCACTCACCTGTGCAGGCGGCAGGAGGGATACCGATGCACATCAGGTACTGGAAGGACAGCATGAAGGCCAAGAAACAGCAATACTTGGACCAGACGTGAGCGATGGCTCTCCTCCGACGCTGAAACATCACCGCTATCAGACCGAACGCGTGCAGCATGGCATAGAAATCCATCCGCTGGCCAATCACGTTCACCGCTAACAGAAAACAGGTCTGGAGAATTCAAGTTAGGATAATAATGGGTACATCTGATAGTATCAGTCAAGTCTCCTTCATTTCTACAGCATTTTCAACAATACGGACTGTTTCAAAGCAGCTTTAACGTGATAATAGGAAATTAACACTGAGATTGCTCTAGAATAAAGTTATTGTCCAGCTAAAGTTAGTTTCGATTGATTCACTTCCGTTGCAAAGATCACTACACACAAATTAAAATTCAATATCAATCACGTATCCCTGATGCATTATATTGTGGTTTATCGGTCTCAACAGTGTGTTAGCAATCTGAGCTTCCGCAGATCATCTATTAGAGACCATCAGGTGAGACGGGATCCTGCAGAGCAAACCAGTGTCTGGACAGAACAAAAACTGGACCCTAAAAGGGTGAACATCATTTTGCCAAGTAGGACATGTTCCTGGGCCAATCAAACATAAGCTGCGTTTCCATTACCCTTCAAAAATTGCGCAAATTGAAATTGAGAATTGAAAATACGCCCAATTGCGCCAAATTTTTTATTTTATTTTTAAATTACGTGAGCATGAGGATTTTCAGTCAGTTCGAAAAAGGAATATTTCGCAAAACTGCAATAGATCGCATAACATCGGTTAATGGAAACGTCGTCACTTCGCGAAATCTTTTTTTTTTTTTGCAAATCTGTATTGGAAACGCGGCTATAGTCCTAACCCTAAATGTAACCGCAGCCCTAAGCCTTATCCTAAAGCAATCCCTACAATCTGTTTCAGGATCAACAGATATTAATGCAGGAACATATCCACTATAGCGGCACTGTTCACTGTCATATATCAATGACAGACAGATTTTAAACTACCGTTCAACAGTTTGGGGACTTTTATTAATCAAGGATGCATTAAATTGATCAGAAGTGACAGTAAAGACTTGTATAAAGTAGGGGTGACCCCGAATAGTCGAAGATTCGATGCTTCGATAGGAGGAGCCTGATTCGACTACCAATCTCACGGTCGAATCTTCGCAGATGTGTTATTAAACGAGGATTATGTCATGTTGGCTATATGAGTGTGCTCAATGTCTGATCTCACATTATAGAACTACTGGTTTTCTGTCAATACGTTAATATACAGCCTATTATGATAATGCTGTCAATAAAAATGTGCAAAGAAAGAAGCTTTTAATACATATTTTTTAACGTGCGTGCAGCGTGAATAAATCCAAACACCCCGAGACAGATTTAAGTTTCACTTTCGATCCGTGACCGACAGAGGAGCGTCTTGTCGGCAGGGATTTAAATCTTTAAAAATGTCTGGGATAAGACAATCTAAAGATGCACACCATCAGAAGGATATTCTCCAAGGCTGGATTTAGCATCAGGAAAACCATGATCGCACTTCTGCCGGCCAACGTTAACAGGTTGGTTTTCCTCGGGACATTCTGAAACGCTTAACGTGAAAAAAAGCTTTTAAAACGCTTAAATGGCACTTCTACGTGCTTAATGTATGTACACAGTAGGCTACACACCTTAAGAAACCATTCTATGTGCAGATAAGCAGATGAACCCAGAATATGAACGCAACGCGTTTCTCCTATAGAAAGTTACGTAAAGCTTTTTCTTTAACGGTTTTCTATGGGAGGAAAATGTTTAACGTACCTAGGCTATAATAAAACGTGTTGCGTTCATATTCTGGGCTCATCTGCTTTTCTGTAGGCTATATAGTATGCTTTATTAATAAGGTGTGTACAGAATTTGATCTTTTAATATAACAGTTTTAGGACAAAGCCGTTAAGCGCTTTTCACGTTAAGCGTTTTAGAATGTATTTTATCCGCGCACACAATTTGAAAACAGTGTTGTTTTTGGCAGCCCTTTTAGTTTTAGTCTTAGTCTTTTGGACGAAAATGCTTTTTAGTTTTAGTCACATTTTAGTCACTTAAAAACTTCATAGTTTTAGTCAAGTTTTAGTCGACGAAAACGCAAAAAGGTTTTAATCAAGTTTTAGTCAATTTTAGTAAAAAATAAAAAATAAATAGTCTTTAAAAAATAGAGAAAATAAAATGCGGCTGTGTCAAAATTGGTATCAAGTTCAAAAATAGAAAAGAAATAAAAGTGCCACTTTGCAATCTGTTAAAAAAAGAAAAGAATAGAAATCCATTTGGCAAGACAGGTCTATTTATCCCTGCATTAGTGGCTGCAATGAGCCTGTTTTGAATTGCACAATTTCTCAAAAGTCATGCTCAATGTTCAGCTGAGATCTGTACCTTGTTTTCAGTGAAACTGAAACAGCTGAAAAGCCCATCTCACAGAGATATGATGTGGCAAAGGGAGGAAAAATACACACAGCTCTCTGCCTTTAGCCTACTTAAAAACGTGATATATATATATATATTTTTTTTTTAAATAGATAAAATAGACATAACATACTGTGTTTGATATGGGATTAAAATGATGGGTAGTGTATCGGCAGTGTATAAGATATAAACTAATGATAATTACTTTATTATTCCTTTGTTCCGATCAGAGCATGTGAGTGGAGAGCGCGTTTCTGAATATTCCTCCGCTCGCTCATTCAGCTCAGGGTCGCGCTCGACCCAGAATGGCCTGCTGGTTCGAGAATATGTGGAATAAGAGCTGCCTCCGACTAAAGTTTGTATTCTAGTCGACTAGTAGTTCTTCATTTAAGCCATTAGTGGACAAATCGCCCCTTTATATTAATTTAATTACTTAAATAGGCTATACGGGATTGAGCGTTATAGCCGCACTCGAGTGCACGACCGCACGCATAAAGCTTGCCACAAAGAACCGGCAAAAGTAATGATTATGAATGTGTAAAAAAACAGCAAGGAGACATTTAATTGTTTATTAATAAACTGGTGTTTTCGGTGTCACTGCAAAGATGAAATTGACGATGCGGACTCGCCATGAACGAATAAAGATAAAAAGGCATAAAACGGAAAATTTCCTCCCGTTCTGGAGGAGACCTGTCACGGCAGTGGGGCGCGATTATACTGAAACTGAAAGTATGTCCATAAATCATCTCGTCGTTTCCGACCACCAAGCCCGTTTATTGGCTTCGCCGCCATGGTCCTTCGAAGATGTGTGGCGAGTGACTAGCCGCAGCCGCAGAACTATTCGCTATGAAGCTGTGTTGTTGTGTGGAATCTGGTGCGCGCGCGGCATGGGTACCCAAAACAATGATAGGAAGTGGCAGCATTGCTGATACTTTTTTAGCTCAAGACAGATTTCACGCAAAATAGGCAGAAATGACATGCATTGCGAACGTCAGACTTATAGTCATTTTCGTTCCGTCTCGTCTTGTCAACGAAAACTCGAAAATGTCTCGCCATGTTTTAGTCAACTTAGAGCCATTTTTAGCTAGTCATCGTCGCGTTATCGTCATAAAAAAAAGTGCGTCAGCGAAATAATTTCGTTATCGTCATCGTTGACGAAAACAACATTGTTTGAAAAGACTCAAACGGACACAGGCCGAGTGAAAGACTGGATTTTGTTTTCTCGATCAGGTATGGGTACAAGTGATTTCAAAACATTTCAGCCGGTTCTAATTTGATTTTTGGATTCTGTGAACAAGTTTAGCTAAAAAGACTGCCGCTCCAGTTTAGCTTTTATTGTTGTTTCTGCAGTTAAAAAGACAAAGTTGACAATCCTGGTCCTACTTTCGTTATTTTAATAATTTCTTTATTTTTATTTTATTAATTGATCACTCAGGGTGATCTAATTTAACTATTTGTGACTTGTGTTTTGAATATTTGTTCCCCTGCACTTTAGGCATTTTGCACACATTTGTTCTGCTTCTTGTGACTTGATTCTGACTTATTTCGTTTTGTATTTTTATTTATTATAAATGTATATTGTGTTCTTAATTGTTGATTATTTTTCAGTGCATCGATGTTGCGCTGTAGGCCTACTTAGAGCATGCTCGTACAGGCAATTCAGCCGATTTAATTTGATTTGCATGTGAAATGCAAATCCTATCTGCAGTGTGGCCTTTCTGCAGTTATTTATGTTATTTCTTAGTTTTATTGATCCAAAATGTTGTTATACATTTTCTTCTATATCTTTGTGTGATGTTCTGTACATCGCGGCTTTAAAATGTTAAAGCCCCGCCCCCTCCCCAACACCACACACATGATTCGACTATTAGTCGACTATAGGCAGAACTTGACGAATCTGATTCGACTATGAAAATCCTTAGTCGGGGACACCCCTAGTATAAAGTTACAAAAGATTATATTTCAAATAAATGCTGTTCTTTTGAACTTTCTATTCATCAAAGAATCCTGAAAAATAAAATGTATGACGCTTTCCACAATAATATGAAGCTGTTTTCAACACTGATAATAATCATAAATGTTTCTTGAGCATCAGATCATCATATTAGAGTGATTTCTGAAGGATCATGTGACACTGAAGACTGGAGTAATGATGCTGGAAATCAGCTTTGATCACAGGAATAAATTACACTTTACTGTATATTCACATAGAAAACTGCTGATTTACACTGGAATAATATTTCACTGTTTTTGCTGTATTTCTGATCAAATAAACACAGCCATGATGAGCAGAAGAGACTTCTGTCATAAAAAATCTTACCGACCGCAAGCTTTTAAAAGAGTGTATTTACTCACTGATTAGCACAATGATGGAATTACCTCAAGACCAAATTTGTAGAAAAAGTAGTTGATGAAATATTTGGCGCAGTTGACGATGCCGTCGTCCAAATGTTGCCGTGTGATGTTGTGGAAGATGGTTCTCGTGACTGGAGGGGTGAGGTTGCTTTTCATACGGTAGAAATCCTGGTGACGGTAAATCGTCACCTCGAACGCCAAGAGGGCCAACATCAATAAATTATTCTGTGTGGGGAAAAGAAAGGTTAAGGATTTAAAGGGATAGTTCACCCAAACATGTAAACTCTGTCAGTAATGACTCTCCCTCATGTTGTTCAAACCCGTAAGACTTTCGTTCATCTTCGGAACACAATTTAAGATATTTTTGATTAAATCTGAGAGCTGGATCACTCCTCCATAGGCTTCTATTGTTATTGAAACTTGCCGGCCCAGAAAAGTTAGTAAAGACATTGTTAAAATAGTCTGAGTGACGACAGTGGCTCAACCTTAAGTTTATCAAGCGACGAGAATACTTTCTGTGCGCAAAAACAAACAAAAATAACGACTTTATTCAACTCTTCATCTCCTGTGTGGGCCTCGAGTGAGTTCACTTAGTGTAACAGCGCAGCGCTTCTGTGTACGTCACACACACACACACACACACACACACACATGACCAGCGTCGGCCAATAGTGAGCCTGCGTGTGACGTACAACACAGAAGCGCTGCGCAGTTACACTACGTGAACTCACTCGAGGCCCATTATTAAGACTACACTGTTTACCAAAAGGAAAAAGGGGACTCTTATTATGAAGTATGGTGTATGGTTAACTTCTGATGTTAGTCTTTGAGTGTGTGTACGTACCCTCAGGTTCTCCAGTAGTGGAGAGAACTTTCTGAGCCCGATCCAGTTGGCCGGGTCCACCGGGCCGCTGTAGAGAAGAGACTTGGCCATGTCCGACCTCTGCGCCTCGGTGTAGTTATCAGGCTTCAGGAGAGAAGCAGACACTGGCTCGTTCACATGCACAACTGATGAATCTGAATGTCGTGTTTACATGAGCGCTGAACATGTGATCGGGTCGATGTGCGCGTTTATGTGTCACAAGCTTCAAATCGGATTATATTTTTTGACATGCGCTCACTGCACGAATATACAGTTTCCCGCTGTTTGCGCATAATAACCATTCTCCTACATCGGTTCTTTATTGGTTTTAAACGTTAGACTTGATATTTATTCAGTTCTGGTCATAATTTGGAGACGATGAGCGTATGAACCGCTGTGCCGCTGCTTATATTGATCACGCAGTCAAACTGCCCAAAACCAGTCGTCTGTGGATGAGAAAAACAAGCACTGGCGGCCGTCGTCCTGCTCCACTTCACAGACACTGAGGGAAAGGAGGATTATAGGACGACGGGACACTCCTTTATATTCACTTCATTCAACAGGAAGAACAGCTCGTTCAGCGCATCATTACGCTATTTCTACATCATTACGCGATTTCTACGTCATTACGCTATTTCTACATCATTACGCTATTTCTACATCATTACACTATTTCTACGTCATTACGCCATTTCTACATCATTACGCTATTTCTACATCATTACGCTATTTCTACATCATTACGCTATTTCTACGTCATTACGCTATTCCTATGTCATTACGCTATTTCTACGTCATTACGCTATTTCTACGTCATTACGCTATTTCTACGTCATTACGCTATTTCTACGTCATTACGCTATACCTACGTCATTACGCTATTTCAACATCATTACGCTATTTCTACGTCATTACGCTATTTCTGTCATTATGTTATTTCTACGTCATTACGCTATTTCTACGTCATTACGCTATTTCTACTTCATTACGCTATTTCTACGTCATTACGCTATTTAAACATCTTTACGCTATTTCTACGTCATTACGCTATTTCTGTCATTATGTTATTTCTACGTCATTACGCTATTTCTACGTCATCACGCTATTTCTACATCATTACGCTATTTCTATGTCATTACGCTATTTCAACGTCATTACGCTATTTCTACGTCATTACGCTATTTCAACGTCATTACGCTATTTCTACTTCATTGCGCTATTTCTACGTCATTGCGCTATTTCAACGTCATTACGCTATTACTACGTCATTACGCTATTTCTACGTCATTACGCTATTCCTGCGCTATTTCAACGTCATTACGCTATTTCTACGTCATTACGCTATTCCTACGTCATTACGCTATTCCTACGTCATTACGCTATTCCTACGTCATTACGCTATTTCTACTTCATTACGCTATTTCTACGTCATTACGCTATTTCAACATCATTACGCTATTTCTACGTCATCACGCTATTTCTACATCATTACGCTATTTCTACGTCATTACGCTATTTCAACGTCATTACGCTATTTCTACGTCATTACGCTATTTCTACGTCATCACGATATTTCAACATCATTACGCTATTTCAACGTCATAACGCTATTTCAACATCATTACGCTATTTCTACGTCATCACGCTATTTCTACATCATTACGCTATTTCTACGTCATTACGCTATTTCAACGTCATTACGCTATTTCTACGTCATTACGCTATTTCAACGTCATTACGCTATTTCAACGTCATTACGCTATTTCTACGTCATTACGCTATTTCTGTCATTACGTTATTTCTACGTCATTACGCTATTTCTACGTCATTACGCTATTTCTACGTCATCACGCTATTTCTACATCATTACGCTATTTCTACGTCATTACGCTATTTCAACGTCATTACGCTATTTCTACGTCATTACGCTATTTCAACGTTATTACGCTATTTCAACGTCATTACGCTATTTCTACGTCATCACGATATTTCAACATCATTACGCTATTTCAACGTCATTACGCTATTTCAACGTCATTACGTTATTTCTACGTCATTACGCTATTTCTACGTCATCACGATATTTCAACGTCATTACGCTATTTCTACGTCATTAGGCTATTTCAACGTCATTACGCTATTTCAACGTCATTACGCTATTTCTGTCATTATGTTATTTCTACGTCATCACGCTATTTCTACATCATTACGCTATTTCTACATCATTACGCTATTTCTACGTCATCACGCTATTTCTACATCATTACGCTATTTCTACGTCATTACGCTATTTCAACGTCATTACGCTATTTCTACGTCATTACGCTATTTCAACGTTATTACGCTATTTCAACGTCATTACGCTATTTCTACGTCATTACGCTATTTCTACGTCATCACGATATTTCAACATCATTACGCTATTTCAACGTCATTACGCTATTTCAACGTCATTACGTTATTTCTACGTCATTACGCTATTTCTACGTCATCACGATATTTCAACGTCATCACGCTATTTCTACATCATTACGCTATTTCTACGTCATTACGCTATTTCAACGTCATTACGCTATTTCTGTCATTATGTTATTTCTACTTCATTGCGCTATTTCTACGTCATTGCGCTATTTCAACGTCATTACGCTATTACTACGTCATTACGCTATTTCTACGTCATTACGCTATTCCTGCGCTATTTCAACGTCATTACGCTATTTCTACGTCATTACGCTATTTCTACGTCATTACGCTATTCCTACGTCATTACGCTATTCCTACGTCATTACGCTATTTCTACTTCATTACGCTATTTCTACGTCATTACGCTATTTCAACATCATTACGCTATTTCTACGTCATCACGCTATTTCTACATCATTGCGCTATTTCTACGTCATTACGCTATTTCAACGTCATTACGCTATTTCTACGTCATTACGCTATTTCAATGTCATTACGCTATTTCAACGTCATTACGCTATTTCTACGTCATTACGCTATTTCTGTCATTACGTTATTTCTACGTCATTACGCTATTTCTACGTCATTACGCTATTTCTACGTCATCACGCTATTTCTACATCATTACGCTATTTCTACGTCATTACGCTATTTCAACGTCATTACGCTATTTCTACGTCATTACGCTATTTCAACGTTATTACGCTATTTCAACGTCATTACGCTATTTCTACGTCATTACGCTATTTCTACGTCATCACGATATTTCAACATCATTACGCTATTTCAACGTCATTACGCTATTTCAACGTCATTACGTTATTTCTACGTCATTACGCTATTTCTACGTCATCACGATATTTCAACGTCATTACGCTATTTCTACGTCATTAGGCTATTTCAACGTCATTACGCTATTTCAACGTCATTACGCTATTTCAACGTCATTACGCTATTTCAACGTCATTATGTTATTTCTACATCATTACGCTATTTCTACGTCATTACGCTATTTCTACGTCATCACGCTATTTCTACATCATTACGCTATTTCTACGTCATTACGCTTTTTCAACGTCATTACGCTATTTCCACGTCATTACGCTATTTCAGCGTCATTCAGCTATTTCTACGTCATTACGCTATTTCAACGTCATTACGCTATTTCTACGTCATTACGCTATTTCTACATCATTACGCTATTTCTACGTCATTACGCTATTTCTACATCATTACGCTATTTCTACGTCATTACGCTATTTCCATGTCATTACGCTATTTCAACGTCATTCAGCTATTTCTACATCATTACGCTATTTCTACATCATTACGCTATTTCTACGTCATTACGCTATTTCCATGTCATTACGCTATTTCTACATCATTACGCTATTTCTACGTCATTACGCTATTTCCATGTCATTACGCTATTTCAACGTCATTCAGCTATTTCTACGTCATTACGCTATTTCTACGTCATCACGATATTTCTACATCATTGCACATGCGCAGTCCTTTCAGTTTCAGTTTTCAATCCGATCCAGTGTTTACATGTTCTGTCGATCGGATTAGAAAAGGAATAAACCACGCCTTTCAATCCGATGGAAATTTAATTCGTATCGAGCTCAGTCGGATCGGTTAATGTGTTTACAGGAAGGCTTTTCAGTCCGATTGAGCCGTGAATTACTAACGGATGATTTGGTTGCATGTAAACGCAGCCAATGAGAACGAGCATGTCCACTTCACGCATGTACTGAGGGGTGCAGGAGTCTCACCATGCTGCAGTTCTTTGAGTATGTGGAAGGGTTAATGGAGGTGAGCTGGTACAGCATCTTGCAGACGATGATGACGCAGGTCCAGACGGTACACACACTCGACGCCAGCGATCTGAACTGGGAGAACGGCAGCGCGAAGGCCCAGCTCACCAGGAACACGTAGTTAAACAGCGACACCTGAGAACGACACGTTTCTGCTGATCATCAACCCTTTACACACTAAAGAATCGCCACTGACTAACAAATCTTAGTAAATTTGGCAAACATGTATGAATAAAAATATATTAATGTACATTTTGTAATTTCTTTTTTGAAAAGAATTCTTTAAATTGATCAAAAGATTTTCATTTCAAACTAGAAAAAGTTCGTCGAGACAAACTTTAAGTTGGCTTGTGAAAGTTTGGACCGCAAAGTTTGAAGAAGTTTAAATTAGTTTGAAGTTTAAATTAGTTCAAAGTAGTTTATAGTTTAACTTAGTTTAAAGTTTAAAGTAGTTTAAATTAATTTAAAGTTTAAATTAGTTTGAATTTTAAAGTAGTTTGAAGTTTAAATTAGTTTGAAAGTTAAAGTAGTTTAAAGTTTAAATAAGTTTGAATTTTAAAGTAGTTTGAAGTTTAAATTAGTTTAAAGTAGTTTAAAGTTTTAAATAGTTTAAAGTTCAAAGTAGTTTAAAGGTTAAAGTATAGTTTCAAGTAATTAAATGTTGCTAGGGTGTTTCTAGTGGGTTGCTAAGGTGTTGTGGGTGGTTGCTAGGTGGTTTCTAAGGTATTTTGAGTGGTTGCTAGGGTGTTCTGGGTGGTTGCTAGGGTGTTCTAGGGTATTTTAGGTGGTTGCTATGGTGTTGCTAGGGTGTTTTAAGGTATTTTGGGTGGTTGCTAGGGTGTTGTTAGGGTGTTCTAAGGTATTTTGGGTGGTTGCTATGGTGTTGCTAGGGTGTTCTGAGGTATTTCGGGTGGTTGCTAGGGTGTTGCTAGGGTGTTCTAAGGTATTTTTGGTGGTTGCTAGGGTGTTGCTAGGGTGTTCTAAGGTATTTTGGGTGGTTGCTATGGTGTTGCTAGGGTGTTCTAAGTTATTTTGGGTGGTTGCTAGGGTGTTCTAAGGTATTTTGGGTGGTTGCTAGGGTGTTGCTAGGGTGTTATAAGGCATTTTGGGTGGTTGCTAGGGTGTTCTAAGGCATTTTGGGTGGTTGCTAGGGTGTTGCTAGGGTGTTCTAAGGTATTTTTGGTGGTTGCTAGGGTGTTGCTAGGGTGTTCTAAGGTATTTTGGGTGGTTGCTATGGTGTTGCTAGGGTGTTCTAAGTTATTTTGGGTGGTTGCTAGGGTGTTCTAAGGCATTTTGGGTGGTTGCTAGGGTGTTGCTAGGGTGTTCTAAGGTATTTTGGGTGGTTGCTAGGGTGTTGCTAGGGTGTTCTAAGGTATTTTTGGTGGTTGCTAGGGTGTTCTGGGTGGTTGCTAGGGTGTTCTAAGGTATTTTGGGTGGTTGCTAGGGTGTTCTGGGTGGTTGCTATGGTGTTGCTATGGTGTTCTAAGGTATTTTGGGTGGTTGCTAGGGTGTTGCTAGGATGTTCTGATGTATTTCGGGTGGTTGCTAGGGTGTTGCTAGGGTGTTCTAAGGTATTTTGGGTGGTTGCTATGGTGTTGCTAGGGTGTTCTAAGGTATTTTGGGTGGTTGCTAGGGTGTTGCTAGGGTGTCATAAGGCATTTTGGGTGGTTGCTAGGGTGTTCTAAGGTATTTTGGGTGGTTGCTAGGGTGTTCTGGGTGGTTGCTAGGGTGTTTCTAAGTTATATTATGTGGTTGCTAGGGTGTTTTAAGGTATTGTGGGTGGTTGCTATGGTGTTGCTAGGGTGTTCTAAGGTATTTCAGTTGGTTTCTAGGGTGTTCTGGGTGGTTGCTATGCAGTTGCTAGAGTGTTCTGGGTGTTTGCTATGGTGAACTATTTATGAGTTTAAAAGTTCATAAGTGTATGAATTCATGAGAGTTCATACGTGTATGAATTAATGCATTTATAAGTTCATGAGTTTATAAGTGTATGAATTTATGAGTTTAGAGTTTATAAGTTTAAATGAGTAAGAGTTCAGAGTTTATTAATTTATGAGTTTGAGTTCATAAGTGTATGAATTCATGAGTTTATAAGTGTATGAGTTTATAAGTGTACGAGTTTATGAGTTTAAAGTTTAAATTAGTTTGAAGTTTAAAGTTTAAATAAGTTTGAAGTTTAAAGTTTAAATAAGTTTGAAGTTTAAATTAGTTTGAAGTTTAAAGTTTAATTTAGTTTGAAGTTTAATTTAGTTTAAAGTAGATAGATAGATGGATAAGTGTCATAGATAGATGAGTTTATTAGTTTGAATGAGTCTCATTGGCTCATATAGTGTATAGAATGGCAGTTTGATTCAGTCTAGGGTTTCAAGGGATTTACATTTGAATTTTTGACAGTTGGGGAGTTTGAAAATCTGAAGATTCCGCAATGTAAAGTCAATGGGAGTTTTTTCCGACTTTGATCGTCATTTTTAGGAAAACCGTAAGTCCGATCAGTTAGAAAAGATATAGCATACCGAGTCAGAACAGTTTGAGTGTCCGTGCCGAGTTTGGAGTATGTGGAGTTAAAGCTCTAGGAGGAGTAGCAGTTGTAAATTTTGAGTAAGAAGAATAATAATAATAATAATAATAATAAGTTTAAATACAACATCAGTAAGTTGGCTCTCACAAGCCAACTTAACTAGACAAAGTTCGTCGAGACAAACTTTAAGTTGGCTTGTGAAAAGTTTGGACCGCAAAGTTTGAAGAAGTTTAAAGTAGTTTGAAGTTTAAATTAGTTTAAAGTAGTTTATAGTTTAACTTAGTTTAAAGTTTAAAGTAGTTTATAGTTTAAAGTTTAACTTAGTTTAAAGTTTAAAGTAGTTTAAATTAGTTTAAAGTTTAAATTAGTTTGAATTTTAAAGTAGTTTGAAGTTTAAAATAGTTTGAAAGTTAAAATAGTTTAAAGTTTAAATAAGTTGGAATTTTAAAGTATTTTGAAGTTTAAATTTGTTTAAATTAGTTTAAAGTAGTTTAAAGTTTTAAATAGTTTAAATAGTTTAAAGTAGTTTAAAGTTTTAAATAGTTTAAAGTAGTTTAAAGTAGTTTAAATAGTTTAAAGTTCAAAGTAGTTTAAAGGTTTAAAGGTTAAAGTATAGTTTTAAGTAATTAAATGTTGCTAGGGTGTTTCTAGTGGGTTGCTAAGGTGTTGTGGGTGGTTGCTAGGTGGTTTCTAAGGTATTTTGAGTGGTTGCTAGGGTGTTCTGGGTGGTTGCTAGGGTGTTCTAGGGTATTTTAGGTGGTTGCTAGGGTGTTCTAAGGTATTTTGGGTGGTTGCTATGGTGTTGCTAGGGTGTTCTGAGGTATTTCGGGTGGTTGCTAGGGTGTTGCTAGGGTGTTCTAAGGTATTTTTGGTGGTTGCTAGGGTGTTGCTAGGGTGTTCTAAGGTATTTTGGGTGGTTGCTATGGTGTTGCTAGGGTGTTCTAAGTTATTTTGGGTGGTTGCTAGGGTGTTCTAAGGTATTTTGGGTGGTTGCTAGGGTGTTGCTAGGGTGTTATAAGGCATTTTGGGTGGTTGCTAGGGTGTTCTAAGGCATTTTGGGTGGTTGCTAGGGTGTTGCTAGGGTGTTCTAAGGTATTTTTGGTGGTTGCTAGGGTGTTGCTAGGGTGTTCTAAGGTATTTTGGGTGGTTGCTATGGTGTTGCTAGGGTGTTCTAAGTTATTTTGGGTGGTTGCTAGGGTGTTCTAAGGTATTTTGGGTGGTTGCTAGGGTGTTGCTAGGGTGTTATAAGGCATTTTGGGTGGTTGCTAGGGTGTTCTAAGGCATTTTGGGTGGTTGCTAGGGTGTTGCTAGGGTGTTCTAAGGTATTTTTGGTGGTTGCTAGGGTGTTGCTAGGGTGTTCTAAGGTATTTTGGGTGGTTGCTATGGTGTTGCTAGGGTGTTCTAAGTTATTTTGGGTGGTTGCTAGGGTGTTCTAAGGCATTTTGGGTGGTTGCTAGGGTGTTGCTAGGGTGTTCTAAGGTATTTTGGGTGGTTGCTAGGGTGTTGCTAGGGTGTTCTAAGGTATTTTTGGTGGTTGCTAGGGTGTTCTGGGTGGTTGCTAGGGTGTTCTAAGGTATTTTGGGTGGTTGCTAGGGTGTTCTGGGTGGTTGCTATGGTGTTGCTATGGTGTTCTAAGGTATTTTGGGTGGTTGCTAGGGTGTTGCTAGGATGTTCTGATGTATTTCGGGTGGTTGCTAGGGTGTTGCTAGGGTGTTCTAAGGTATTTTGGGTGGTTGCTATGGTGTTGCTAGGGTGTTCTAAGGTATTTTGGGTGGTTGCTAGGGTGTTGCTAGGGTGTCATAAGGCATTTTGGGTGGTTGCTAGGGTGTTCTAAGGTATTTTGGGTGGTTGCTAGGGTGTTCTGGGTGGTTGCTAGGGTGTTCTAAGGTATATTATGTGGTTGCTAGGGTGTTCTAAGGTATTTTGGGTGGTTGCTAGGGTGTTGCTAGGGTGTTCTAAGGTATTTTGGGTGGTTGCTAGGGTGTTGCTAGGGTGTTCTAAGGTATTTTTGGTGGTTGCTAGGGTGTTCTGGGTGGTTGCTAGGGTGTTCTAAGGTATTTTGGGTGGTTGCTAGGGTGTTCTGGGTGGTTGCTATGGTGTTGCTATGGTGTTCTAAGGTATTTTGGGTGGTTGCTAGGGTGTTGCTAGGATGTTCTGATGTATTTCGGGTGGTTGCTAGGGTGTTGCTAGGGTGTTCTAAGGTATTTTGGGTGGTTGCTATGGTGTTGCTAGGGTGTTCTAAGGTATTTTGGGTGGTTGCTAGGGTGTTGCTAGGGTGTCATAAGGCATTTTGGGTGGTTGCTAGGGTGTTCTAAGGTATTTTGGGTGGTTGCTAGGGTGTTCTGGGTGGTTGCTAGGGTGTTCTAAGGTATATTATGTGGTTGCTAGGGTGTTCTAAGGTATTGTGGGTGGTTGCTATGGTGTTGCTAGGGTGTTCTAAGGTATTTCAGTTGGTTTCTAGGGTGTTCTGGGTGGTTGCTATGCAGTTGCTAGAGTGTTCTGGGTGTTTGCTATGGTGAACTATTTATGAGTTTAAAAGTTCATAAGTGTATGAATTCATGAGAGTTCATACGTGTATGAATTAATGCATTTATAAGTTCATGAGTTTATAAGTGTATGA